TTGCGCGTGTTGTCGGAAAACTAGGTCCCAGCCTGTCCGTGCGAAACCGCGCTCGTCGATCGTGAGAATTTTCGCTTGCATGTTTATATGTCACACGACAAACACTATAAATATTTTGTGTAAATAGAGTTTCCATGAACTCATGAAGAATTTAAAATTAACTCGGGCGGCAAAATTTTGACCAGGTAAACTAAATAAATACAATTGAAATATAAAATCAATATCAAAGTTTAGCCACTGTCACTGACACTGTGTCTGTGGTGTATTGACTAAAGGTCTCCCCTCTTTACGAGTAAATCTAGTGTTTGACTGAGTAAAACAACAAAGGCCAACAAAGCTATGGATGCATTACAGAAATAAATTACATGCAGAATTGGATAACAGAAAACACTGCCAGATCAGATTTGACCAATTTAGAATGGGTTACTGATTTGACCAATTTCGAATTGGTTATGGATTTGACCAATTAAAAAATTGGTTATGCATTTCACCAATTTCCAATTGGTTATGGGAATTAACCAATTAATAATTGGTTACCCATTTAACCAATTTACAATTGGTTACGGGATTTGACCAATTAAAAATTGGTTATGGATTCGACCAATTTAAAATTGGTTATAGAGATGACCAATTTAAATTGGTTATGCATATGACCAATTTTAAATTGGTTGGGGATATGACCAATTTTTATTGGTTATTTTGGGAAATTCAACATTGACTGATCAAAAGAAATTGGTTAAATTTACAATTTTAAATTGGTTAAAAATTCAACCAATTATGCATTGGTCGAAATGACCAATATTTAATTGGTCATGTCAGACTAACCTATTCTTCAATTGGTTAAAATGACCAATTTAAATTGGTTGCAACCAATTTAAATTGGTCATTTTAACCAATTTGTTTTTACTGTGTACTGGCACAAAAGGATACAAAGTTTATGATGTTAAAAGAAGAAAGTTCATGGTTACATTTATGTTAAATCGGTTAAAAAGGACGGTGGTCGAATAAGTTTTGTGATACTCGGAGTTTACGTGGACGATATAATTCCAGTTTCCAACGCTAATCAAATGCTGAATTTAGAGAAGAAAGCGCTCAGAGAAAGATTTAAGATGGATGACAGAGGTGAAGTTCATTATCTATTGGGAATGCTGATTAAACGAGATCGAGAAGCCAGAGTTACTACAATCAGTCAGCGTAATTACGTGGAACGAGTCCTAAGCAAATTCGGAATGGAATCATGTAAACCGGTTTCAACACCACTGGAACCTGGGACAAAGTTTTCAGAGTTGTCAAATGAGGATGAAAAATTTGACACACAAACATACCAGCAAGCGATTGGATGCCTAACCTATCTTTCAGTGATTTCAAGACCAGATATCTCAGCTGCAGTGGGAGCACTTTCACAATTTATGGCAAAACCTAGCAAAGATCATTGGATCGGAGTGAAACGTGTATTACGATATCTTAAAGGAACTTTAGATTATGGCCTGAAATACTCAGCAGATGAAAACCCTACACTAGTCGGTTATTCAGACTCTGACTGGGCAGGAGATATTAATACTCGTCGATCAACATCAGGTTATGTATTTCAAGTTGCTAATAGCACAGTTAGTTGGTCGAGAAAAACGCAGAGGACAGTCGCGAAGAGTTCAACAGAAGCAGAATATATTGCCTTAAGTTTAGCCACGCAAGAAGCGCTATGGTTACAAAGACGTTATATGATGTTGAATTTAAAATCAGAAAACCGATAACAATCTTCGAAGACAACCAAGGAACAATAGAATTGGCGAAGAATGCCAAATATCATAATAGAACGAAACATATTGACATTTGCCATCATTTCGTTCGTGAACGCGTTCAGTCGAAGGAGATCAATGTAGTATATTGTCGAACAGATGATATGAAAGCAGACATACTAATAAAAGGATTAGCAAGATCAAGTTATGAAAAGTTAAGGGGCTTGATTGGGATTACATCTGTTTGAACATTGTAATTTAATTGTTGAAGTTAAATTTATAAGTGAATGCACATTTTATCGTGAACTCATTAAGTGGGAGTGTTAAGAATAATAAGTTCCCGCCAAATTCTATAACGCTAAATATATGATTGGTTAAAGATTAATGAGTTCTCTCCTCTGATGTGGACATTCGGTCGGACATGCTTTTTAGAAAATCAATTCATATTATTAAAGTTATGTTTATCTTCAAATAAATAGTTATACAATCGAAAGTGAGCCAATATTTCAATATCAAATCTGTGGCTTTCAAGGTTATAATAAAACGTATCTTAAATGCATGAAACAGCGTTTCGCAGACCATAAAAATAGACAAATTTTCCCAACTTGTTGGGGGCTGGCTACGCCCCTGCATGGTTCTCTCACCTTTACAACTTGTTCCATAGTATTATCCATTCAATTATATATATGTGAATTCTTACCTTCAAAATGCTTCCAGGAATCCATGGCAACGCTTTCTTAAGCGACTCAAACGATGCAGTCACAAGTGTGGTTAATGGCAGAACATTCAGCATTAACTGGGCGCTGCAAGATAATATAACTTTTACTATTACATTTATACATTTGATCGATATTAACACTGCGTGAACATTTTACGTTTTATGTGAATTATTTAACTAAATATATATGCATGTAAAGTACTATACCGACTATACAGAATGCATAGTTACCTAAATGAGTTCAAGGATGGAAATCCAAGCAGAAATCTTTCGTTCTAAAAATAAAAAGCGTAGTCATTATTGTTCAGTTTCATCATTAATTTAATTTAAATGGATGTAACTAATGATCTAATCCCATCGGATATTACACACTCCTCGCCCGGCCCGGCAAAACCTTCGGGAAGCCTCGCAGTGCCTCGGAAGGTCGTCTCCAATTGGATGGGGGTTTTCTAACGAACGAAGCAATTCATTGTTATAAACACAATAGCAATTATCAAATCGAGCCAATGAAAATCACTCTTCCGAGCTACTGCGAGGCTATCCAAACCTTCGACTAAGTACTAAGATGCATGCATGTGCGAGATTTGTATGTACCTCAGAACATTCTGCCGTCAACCAGTTCCGTCTGACCCAATCTTGTTTGGTAAACACATGACTGGAATCTCTTGTTATCTCAGAAATTCGTCTTATAAGAGATGCTGTGTGGTTTACCGACCGGGAATAGAAAATATCCACAACAAAATGGGGGAATGATTGTTGTATTGACATCAGGCAACCATGAAATTTAGCTAAATTCGATTGCACATCCCCCAAAAACGAATATCTGCACGTAAAAATGAAAGAAAATATAAACTATAAGAGGGTTATTTGCAAAAGATTTAAAAACAGGTGAAATTCATTACTGTTACAAAGCATCCGAGAAACAAAAATAATGTATAACTTATTAACCGTGTAACCAGCAAAACATCTCGGACCTGTTGTTATACGAAAATTGCTTTTCAAAAAGGCTATAGTATAACAATTACACAAGCATTAAACTGTATGCAATATTATGCAATAAAACAATGCCTAAGGCTAACAGTAAAACCATAATCATTGCAATCAATTTTATCAAGTCCTCCTATCGTCATGTTAATTCCGAAAAGATTAGGAGAATATATCTGGGAAAAGTTACAATTATCTGAGAAAAGTTACAATTATTTTGAGAGTACTTTTTACATCGATGTTGAAGTTCTTTAATTGACTCTTTCGTCATTTCGTTTCGAGCAGTAAGTTTCTTCAAAATTAAGTAATAAGTAATATATTTCGTGAAAACGTTTTGTATACCTGGCCAAAAATCAGGGGGAACTATAGTAGATTATAGGTGAAGATCAATTTTGGTCAATTGCTGAATATAAAGCAATTGCTGAAAAATCATCAAATTGTACTTACTCTGAGTTGCTTTTATTCTCACAAACTAGGATGATACTGCATATTTGACATTTGAATGATGTTGAAAGAACTAGGTCAACAATATTCTTATATCCTTCTTCATTACTAAAATTGATGACATTCTCGATGATCACACTAGCACGTTGATCCAGGATAAGATCAGGCTGTCGACACATCTTAGATGAAGTAGTAACAGCATTTTTCAAGATCTTCTCATATTCTCTTTCAATAATAACAATTCCGCATCTTTGCTCCAAACATCTTAGCAAATTGGCATTCTTTGTGATTTTAGATGACCCAATCAGAGTATATACCTCCAGTTTTGGAGTCTCGGAATCAGCTGCTGGAAGATCTAAAATGAAAAGCGTACAAACAGATGGCAGTAACAACAATGAATGCTGAGTTTCGTGGATAATCCAAATGAGCATAAAAATCAATCAATCAAAGATTTATCTTTCCCAGGGCCCTTACTCACTCACATAATATATACTTGATGATAAATAACGAGTAGCTTACAGATTTGTTTGATCGACTTACTTTCAATATTAGATTCAGCGAATTCCTGTTGCTCTCCACTTGACACACCTTTCAGACAGATGAAATTATTTTCTTTGAGAGATTTTCCAAACAAAACTTTGTTCAACCATTCGATCTTATCTTCGTATGCGATAATCGATGCAAAAGAAGACCAAGGGAAGTTATCAGGGATGTTAGCGGGATCACAGATAACAACATGAGCGTTGCTTATTGAAGGATATATCTGACTTTTTCTTTCAATAGTCGTTATTTTCAGGCCTTTTATTTGTCGGAGTTGACTTGCGAGGCTCGTGGATACGTCTTGAAAACCTCTGAAGATCATCACCAAAATTTTATTGTCCAAAGTCAGCGAGGAAGGTTGGGGTTGCCATGTTCGCACATAGTTGTAAGTTGCGATGACTTTGGGATGAGATGTGTTAGCATTGTTCAAGCTCTGTTCAGTTTTCATCAGGTAGTCTTTGATTTGATCCAGGGCATTATCAAGCTCTTTGTTGTACTGGGTAGACATAGTTCTCATATAATCTATGAAGATAAGGGAAAGTACATTTATTACACCGAGGGAGGGGGATGAAGATGTCTTGAAAAAAGCTCATATTTTTACAGGGCCCCTGTTGAGGTTATTGGTAAATTTCGATGCCCCCCCTCCAAGTTTTTAAAATTTTCAATGCCCCCCCCCCCTCTAGAATTCGGAATCGAAGGAGTACAATCCGGAATTCTCTCTTATCATACATACAATTTGCAGTTCCTCAAGATGTCTGATATACTCAAGCATGTGCTTCTCCTCAACAAAACTACCGATCTGCTGCTTCTTTCACCTCACTAGCGCCAGATGAAATGGCGTTAATGTAGTGGCCAGGATTTCTTGTATCAGGGTAATGTGCTGGAACCTTACAGAATGTCGCCCCCCCCC